AACGTCTGGCCTCTCTCCAATCTTTGCGCCAGCTGTGGTGTGTGTGTGTGTGTGTGTGCTGCGTCTATATGTGAGATGTGTGTGTGTTTGTGCATCATGGGCTCTGATGGGTTGCATAGCTTCAGAATTGACAACATTTACAGGCTAAAATGAGAATCATCCATCTTCACTAGGCTGCTGTCAGAGGCAGGGCCAAACTTCATAATCCCCAATTACTAGCGCTAACCTCCCCATCTACATACACACATGATGAGGGGGCGGGTGCGAGCCGCATAAATAGAGAGGAAATGCCTCTCAGACTGAATGACTGAAACAGAGAAATAGACAGTGGAAAGGAGTCAGGGATGGAGAGAGAGAGAGGAAGTGGACGGCGTGAGCTGTGATTGGTAAAGTCACAGTCTACTGCCCTCACGCTGGTGGTGAGCACTGAGGTGTTTAAGGGGTCACTGGGATACACACATACATTCACACACAAACACTAACAAACACTCTGCTTACCTCGTGTATTAGATAGGGATTTAAAAGTTGTGGTTTTCGGTTGTAATTCTAGTTAAGACTTACAGTTTTATTAACAATTTCAACATACATACTGTACATACGTACATACTTAAATAAATAGACTTTAGTCACACTATTGTTCAAAAGTTTAGGGTTAGTAAGATTTTTTTTTCTGTTTTTGAAAAAAAGTGTCTTATGCTCACCATATGTTAAAGCAATATAAAGCATATAAAACTGATATATTTGATCAAAAATACAGTAAAATTCAAAAAACATTTTTTTTTTTATTTCTGTGATCAAAGCTGAATTTTCGGCATCATTACTCCAGTCTTCAGAGTCACATGATCCTTCAGAAATCATTCTAATATGCTGATTTGGTTTGGTGCTCAAGTCAAATTTCTTATGTTAAATATTTATGAATCTTTGTTGAATAGAAGATTTAAAATATTTTTTTGTAGCAATGTAAACATTTTCACTGTCACTTTTGATCAATTTAAACTAAAATACCAAAGGAATTTATTCAGTTATAAACAGTCAGGGAAATATTTAGGTTGTATTAATCTTTTATTCCCATTGTTAGAGTACAGAGATGTATAAACATTAAAAAAAAAAGTTTTATATAATTAAAAAGCACAATTAAATATTAATAATGACAAATGTAAATGTTACCCCCCCCCCAATGAAATTTTCCATGGACCCTCTTGCACCCCTATTTTGATGGGCTGTGGTTCAGTGAAGAATCACTTTGACTGATTCATAGAGTTGAGTGACTCATTTGACCATTTCCCTGAAGAGAAAGGCTGCAAATTTTAAATGTGTAGCTTTTGGGAGTACAAATACAGATGGGAAGACATGGACTAAAATCCACAAGAGGATTCGTATCCCCAGTAAAAGAGCACAAGCTTACTTGCAGCTTAAAATTTATTTACAGGGAGAAGGTAGCATCACAGGGCTCGCAAAATCGCTAGCCCGACATCCCAGGGCTATTGTATCTTCCAGTTGTGCAACCAAAATGCATCACCACCCTGCCTGATGGGCCATCTTGAATAGTGATATAAAATCCCTTCCTTGATTAGCATTGTTCACTCACTTGTAGGGGTGAAACGGATCCTAGTTGATCATGTGCACGTTGCCAATTTAAACATTCAAGCATTTTAAACCACTGAAGCACATGAAAAGGCGAAGGAGAACTCAATTCAGTACTCGTTTTCTGTGTGCACTCACTCAAACCATGCACACAGAGAGCCACGTTTCATACAACGTGCGAATACAGAATTGATTCCTCTTTTGCATCTTCTTGAGCTTGAACATAAACACAAAATTCTCTCAAAATAGCTGTCTCAGCAAGTATTCTCGTAAAAACAGACGGTTATGTCTTACGTGAGCGTAAACAATGGAGAAAGAAATCGCATGTGTATAGAGATGAGATCCGTGCAGTCGTTCTTAAAGGGACAGAAGCCTATAAAAACCTGCTGCTGTCTGTGTCACTAATATTAATCAAACAACAAAACACAACTTTCAATAAAGATGAACCTATATCTAATTTATACAGTGATAAAATGTCTGTACCTGAAAAAAAAAAAACTAATGGCCTTTGTTCTATTTTATCTATGCTTGAAATTTGCTTGTTTGTTCTTCTTTGTATTTTATTACTGACAGTTCACTTGTCTTTAAAAATGTTAGACTTTTATTAGTTATGATACTAGTTTTTGCTGTGGTATCGAAGAAGTACTTAAAGTGTTCTTTAGATAATAAAGAAACTTTTTTTGAACAGCTGATGCTCATCCAAAAAAACGACCCAATCTGTGACTCAAAATCCATAATACGATCTGAAACATGAGTTGTGTCATCCGTTGCAGCCCTACTCTCTTGACTTGTTATTTGAAGGAAAAATACAATCACCGAAGTTTTTGTTCATGCTGATTTGTCCGGACGGAAGTTCAGCTGTCTCTTTTATTCGGGCTAGTTAAATTTATTCTGGGCTACCAAAATCTGAAGAACGCTTGCCCCAAAGGGCTACCAGGGATTTTGAAATTTTGTGAGCCCTGCATCAGGATTTTGTTGGGGTTTAATTCACTCCTAATCAGGGTTATTAATAACCTCCTCCCGGACTAAAACAGAAGCGACATCCACTTCCCAAACTCTGCCATCAAACCACATCCACACCTGAGTGACAAACCCCATTACCGCCAATGGAGATGAATCACTGTAGGTGTGGGGTGGGACAGAGATCATTGTAAGTAATTGATCGTAAAAGCGCACAAGCGGGGTCAGTCTGAGGTCGGCCACATACATCACCTGGATGTACACCACCACTACTCATTACTGTTGACTACGTACCTGTGTGCATTCACAAATTGTGAAGCACAAACACAAAGATGAGTGTTAACATACAAAGTAATTTCATGGAGTTGATTTTCTTCCATTGTAGCCATCTAATGAAATCTCTCTCCATAGACATCCGATTACTCGGCTATGGCGTCTTTGGCTGGCGGATTGGAGGAGATGAAGAACAGCTTGGCCAATCAGACGGGAGCAGAGCTGGGTTCCACCATTGCAGGACCTCAATCGTATCCACTTGTGTCTGGTAAGCAAACTATATGGGGGAAAAAAACGATGTAGTTTTTACTTTCACTATGTAGATTTCACAGTAGTTTTCCCAGTTTTTAAAAAAAATTTTTTTGTTTTTTTTATTCCGTGGCAGAAACAATCTTTGTTTAGTGGATAAAAAACAAAAAACTAAAATGCAAATAAAAACAACAAGTAAAAAATGTAAGGCTTAAACTAGTCAAATCTCACGGAAATGGAAATGACTATGGCAGAATTTTTGACATTTTGGAACTAAAATGCAGAGGCTTTTTGTCTTCTTTTGCCATTTCATAGCTAGCACTTAATGTATTCAAAATAAACACAATGAAATAATATATTAACAAATCAAGCATAATTTGATTTCTATGTAAAATGAATTTGAAAGTAGAAAAAAAAGTCTAAAGTATGGTAATAGGTTTCCAAAGCAGTGTTAATGTGACCTTCTTATAGAAAAGAGAGAGAGAGAAAAAGAAAATAAAAATCAATCTCTGGAACATAAAAAAGCCAGAAGTTGAAGAAACATATACCATTACTATTATACATATACCCACAGACCATTACTGTGATATAAGACTTTTATCATACCATGCAGATATCAGATGCATACTAGATTCTTTCCAGTCTGCTACCAACTGAAGTGCTGATCTGAGATCTGCTAGGCTCTCTCTGTATTATAGCTGTGCTGAACATGAATTAGAACAACCTGATTGTAGATCAGCTTGCTGTGGGCAGCTCAGAGGTGAGATGAGAGTGTTATCAGACGTGTTAAACAGCGCTCAGTGATTCAGATTCAGACTCTATATCCTAAGGGACAGAGGGAGTGGATGGAGACCTGTAATTACTATATACACGTCTCCTCCTCTCCCTTACTCACTCACTCCATTTGGGAGTAAGGGAGCGCTAATTAAGAGCTGCTTGGACAGGAGCCCTAACGAGGGAATCATGGAATTGGGATTTGTGCACCATCTGACAAGGTAGAGCGAAACCTGTACGTCTCGACTGTGTGTGTGTGTGTGTGTGTGGAAGGAGAGAAAGCCAGAATGAATTACAAACAGAGCTCGTCTTATAATGGACTGTGTGAAAAGACTATGGAACTGGTACCTCATGTTTGCATAATGGCGCCCCCTATTGGCAAATCACAAATTAACATTTTATACTTTACATTTATGATGACTATCAATTTTTATTAATTAACAAATGATATCATGCAAATCATGAATGCAGAAATGATTAAAAATATATATAAAGAGAAAAAAAACAAAAACAAAAAAACATTATTTTGGGCAGTCTCTTTTGTTTAGTTTATAGAAAAGGAAATGCGATCGGGAAGTGACACAAGCATCTGCTACACATACACCATTTGTCCCCCCAATGATTTTATCTCTTTTTTTTTTTTTGAGCAAAATCTTTTCCTGTCTACCCTTTCCTTCTTTTCTCTTCTGACAACGTCTCTCAGAGGACTAGGCCTTGTCTGTTCTTCCTCTGAAGAGTCCATCTCTCTCTCTGTCCCTCGCTGTTGCCCTGTCCACTGACCCAGAGTGGATTAGTATCCAGTCTTCACTAATGTCTTCCTGTCACCTAACATGGCAACCAGCAGAACAGAGAGTCTGAGACTGTGTGTGTAACTGCGTCAGGTCCGGGCAAGGTACATTTTCATTGGGGCAAGTGATCATATATGATGTTTTTTTTTAATTGTATGTTACTTTTTATATTTTTGCTGCTTCATGCATTGTCCATTGCTAACATATTGCTGAAAAGTTTAATGTTTAAAGGTAAATTCAAATGTGACAACTTGCCCCAATGCTTGTGACAGCATGCCCCTTTTTGTATATTAAGCAATATCACTGCATTTTGGCTGAAGGCATTGTATTAGAAAAATGGCATGATTGCGAGTATGACATTGCTTTCATACAACAGTTCAATGCACAAGGTTAATATTCAATAACTTGAATTTTAGAGTATAGAGTGGACATGATGTACTTTGTCTGTTGTTCCTCCACAAAGTAAAATAGTTCCAAACAGCATCAAAGCAGAACTAACCATTGTGTGTGTCTGAACAACTTACGTAAGTGATGTTTCGTTTTTGAAAGAATCAATGTTTATGAGAGAAACAGTGGCTGGATTCACGAAAATCTGCTTTAGAGAGAAGTTAAGAAATTTCTTAAAAATAATTTCTAAAAACTTTGCAAGAATGTTCTCAAAAAAGTTTTTTTCTTAATAAATAAATTACTTTGGTGTTATCTGATTGTATGGCGGTTCTTGCCAAAGACTCTCTGAAAAACACCTCCAAGGCCTTCTTTTTAAGTTGATCAGAAAGTCTTCTGCAAGAACCGCCATACAATCAGATAACACAGAACTCTGTTCTTTAAAAAAAAAAAAAAAAAAATAAAAATATATATATATTATATGTAGCTAGTGTTTTGTTGTAATGTTTACCAATAAATTCATTAAACATCTTACCTTTGAGAATTGAAGACAAGTTGTACGTTATCCTAACTTCAAGAGGTTATTTACGATGACTTTTAACAGCATTCTTTTCAGAAATTCAAGTTTAGTCTTTAGAACAATCTTAAGAAAAACGATAAGAACATTCTTAAGAAATGTTTTTGGGAATGCAAAATATTCTATAACTTTATTCTAAAACTAGCAGTTAAGAAGAATTGTATTTTTACGAATCCAGCCCTAGTTGAGTGAATGATTCAATGACTTATTCAACACAGTTGCAACATTCATTTTGTTGCTCCCGAATGAATTAGCACTTTTGAATAAATCTGTTGACTCACTCAAAGACTCAAAGGTTGTCTGTGTATATATTCATAATATGCATTATAATAGGAGTCTTCTTGACTGATATATGACCTATGAACACACATCTCATTCAATTTATACCTGCAAACATAGAATCTGCAAATGCTGAATAATGTGTTCAATCAAAGTCATACAGTACTTATGTTGCACAACGACTGATGGGTAAATTTTCCTTTCCACTCTTTTCCTCTGTTCCAATCCTTTGTACCCATCCGGAGTTATTCTTCACTCTGCCTCAGTCTCTTATACCTTCTCTCGTCTTCTCTATCGCCCTTTTTAATCTCTGATACAGTATTCAAGTTTCACTCCCTCCGCCTCACAGACCCTACGGAGGCTTAAGCGGTGGCTGTGTTGAAGGGGATGGATGAACTGAGGGTGATGGTGTTTATTATGATGAATGGGCTGCAGTCTACAGATCAGCACCATGTGCGTACTGAGAGATGATTCACTCTGACAGCCATGTCATGTAGCCTAATACAGTTATACATCCAAACAAAAGAGAGAGAGAGAGAGAGAGAGAGAGAGAGAGAGGAGAGATAAAACGAGAGAGAATTAAATTTAGAAACTGCCCAGATCATTGTGAAATGGACGAGTTAAATCTCTCATTAATATTATTATTAATCCATATTTGTTTTTAATGAACTCTAAATCAACAGTCTAAAATGTATTGACATGCGGATCAGTTACCTGTGACTAAAGAGCTAAATTTTTTGAACTTTCAATTTCACTGACCCGATTTTCTTTTCAGCTCCTCTGAATTTGCCCCTTTCTTTAGTGAATCAGGCCTGAGGGAGACAGGGGCATGTACGTTGTGTGCTAACAGTAGAGACAACCAGATCCTGTCATACATCAGTGCATAATTATACCAGAGGCCCTATTACCGGGGCAAAGGCAAATTTGTGATCTGACATAAAGCGAGATGGCTGTATTAATCGGGATGGTTAAACAGGATGTCGCTAGTCTACCAAGCTCATAAGATGTCACTTATCTGATTTAATAAGCTACAGCATAGATCCATGCTTCGTTCACTTTGCAATCTGAACTATTTCGGTGTTAGTTTTCAAAATACACTAGTCTTTAATTGAAAATTTGTTAGTAAGGTTCATAAATGTATGCACAATTATTTTAAAAACCGTTGAGCTTTAGCTATCAAAACCAGAAATGAACATTCCCAGAACATTATGGGAACCATCAAAATTGTAAGCTGGGTTACTTTTGTTGGAAACTGTATTCATTTGCAATGATTCATTCTGTATTGAATCATTCTGTATTGAATCGGAGGCAGTCGTGGCCTAATGGTTAGAGAGTCAGACTTGTAACCCGAAGGTTGTGGGTTCGAGTCTAAGGTTCCGCCAGGTGGGGGGAGTGAATAACCAGCGCTCTCTTCCACCCTCAATACCATGACTGAGGCGAGACCCTTCAGCAAGGCACCAAACCCCCAACTGCTCCCCGGGCGCCGCAGCAATATGGCTGCCCACTGCTCCGGGTGTGTGTGTTTTCACTACTGTGTGCGCACTTGGATGGGTTAAATGCAGAGCAAAAATTCAGAGTATGGGTCACCATACTTGGCCACATGTCACTTCACACTTAACGTCACTTAATCAGACTACAGTATTTTTCTTAATGTAATGACTAGGCAAGCAATAGGTAGAAATATAACCTTAATTAACAATATTTGCTTACCAAAACAAATCAATTAATGCATTTAGATGCATGAATATATGCTAATCAGATACAGTAGTGCGCTATGATCCGCGCTATTTACCACCATTATTTTGATTTCAAATCCGAACGTTACTAAAACTGATTTTTTTTAAAGCAGTGATTATCTTTTTACACAGCAGCTAATACAATCTTTCATAGATTTCATAGATTTAAGCGCAATATAAAATGACTTCTGTATATAGGCTATTTATATAGGCCTATTATTAAGATACTCAAGCAAGTGGCAAAACATAAACACAGCCTGCAGTCTACATTTCTTACAGGTAGTTGGCTCTCACAAACATTTAAATTAAAACTTACCATTGACAGAAACAGCCGTCTCGTGACTTTTCTTTTGCATTACATCGACAATCCTGCTGGTCATAAAGAAGTTTTTCTAACTCCACGAGTGCCTTCTATGTTGCCGTAGAGTGGCCTATATATTTAAAAGGGTACTTTTTCCTTGCTTTACCCCATTGCTAAAAAGCCATGTTCACTGTAAAAAAACAAACAAAACAAAACAAAAAACAGTCTTTAGGCCTACTTATTTGCATTTATTATGGTGTAATTAATACACTTCGTATCAATCCATGTTCATTTTTACCGTGAGCAATGCGCTGTCACTTTAATTCAGCGTGTGCAGCACTGTCCCAAATTGCACCCTTGACGGAAATGTTACGCCCCTACCATATTGTGATGCCTTGTCCCGGCCGGAGCGACGAGACAAAAACATTAAAACTCATTATAAACGAGGCAATTGTTGCATCCAGTGGGGACATAATTACGGATTATAATGATTTATACTGTCTTTTTAAGGTTGTGGGTTCGAGTCTAAGGTTCCGCCAGGTGGGGGGAGTGAATAACCAGCGCTCTCTTCCACCCTCAATACCATGACTGAGGCGAGACCCTTCAGCAAGGCACCAAACCCCCAACTGCTCCCCGGGCGCCGCAGCAATATGGCTGCCCACTGCTCCGGGTGTGTGTGTTTTCACTACTGTGTGCGCACTTGGATGGGTTAAATGCAGAGCAAAAATTCAGAGTATGGGTCACATGCCACTTCACTTTACTTTAATTTGCAAATCGCCAGTTCTGATTCTAAACAACTGATAGAAAACCCACATGATATGACCGCTGATATCTTATCAGGGAAAAAGATTCTCAGGTCTCAGGTCTAAACTCCATTGTAAGTCAGTGATATTAGTAATAGTTTAAAGTATCAGTAATAGTTTACTGGGACACAGTGGTATTTCAGTAAATGCCCCTAGTGGTAAAAGGTGACGACAAGTGAATCCCTTTATAAGTCATTCATTAAACGATTCATTATAATTGATTCATTTAAACAACTGATTTATAAGGAACAAACAAATTTTATGAGTAAGTCATTGAATCATTCAGTCTACTGATTTATTCAAAAACTCAAATTCATTCATGAACGGCATTAATTCACGTTGCTTGGAGACGAACAATGGTCAATTATCTTTTGACTTTCTTTGGGACTTTTTTTCATATGTGGAAAAAAAATACACAAAACAAATGGTAATACTCGGTATGAATTGCAAATAGGATGTTTAGGATGTTTATCAGAATCCAGCTGTTAAATCTGATGTCAGTTTCTGGATCCAAACACTCTATCAGATCCCAAAAACAAACAACAAATCGGTGCCAATATACACTCACAATGTGCTGTAATACTACCAAAAATTATCCTAACCTTTATCACCTTAGCAAAATCTTAGTTGGCCATACAGTGATACATTTTTTAAAAACATAAAAATGTTGGTATCTGAGATACAGTGCACATTGCAATTTAAGCTTAGCTTAAAGGGATTGTTCACCCAAAAATGAAAATTACCCCATGATTTACTCACCCTCAAGCCATCCTAGATGTATATGACATTCTTCTTTCAGACGAATATAATCAGTTATATTAAAAAAATGTACTGGCTCTTGCAAGCTTTATAATGGCAGTGAATGGCTGTTGAGATTTTGTAGCAAAATAAAGTGCATCCGTCCATCATAAAAAGTGGTCCACACGGCTCCGGGGGGTTAATAAAGGCCTTCTGAAGCGAAGCAATGCATTTGTGTAAGAAAAATTACACAAAACTTTAAAACTTTATAAACCATAATCTCTAGCTTCTGCTAACTGTCGTACTCACTTTGATGACGTAGGCGTAGCATAAGCTCCGGTGAGAATATGCTAGTTTCGTGATAACCAAGTTTTGTTTACAGCAAAGGAAAACCAGTCTCCTCTTGACCTCTGTGCTTCCACGTTCATCACTTCTCACCAAAGCATACGTCATACGATGGAACGCCACTCTCTCGTGAACTTGTGTACGACAGTTTATAAACTTTATAAACTTTATTTCTAAAGTTTTTATATATGGATTATTTGTACACAAACACATCACTTCGCTTCAGAAGGCCTTTGAGCACTTTTTATGATGGACGGATGCGCTTTATTTTGTTTCAAAATCTCAACAGCCATTCACTTCCATTATAAAGCTCGGAAGAGCCAGGACATTTTTAAATATAACTCTGATTGTATTCGTCTGAAAGAAGGAAGTCATATAACTAAACAAATCCATCACTAAGTAAATACTAGGCGAGTAAATTTTTGATTTTAATTTTTGGGTGAACTATCCCTTTAAATGCGCTGAATTGTCTGATGACAGTCTTACAGTGAAGATCCAGGTGCAGTTGGTGTCGGGAGGGTAATAACTGGGGTAGAAGGGCGTCTGTAAAATGCCCTGGACACCGTCTGTCTTCTCTAACACAACACTGTAGGAACAATCTGTAACACAAACACAAAACATCATGATCGCTTGTCCCTTCTCAACATCAGTAATTTGTTTTTAATGAGAATCATCGCTGACCCTTGACTAATTCATTCATTCTCCTGCAGACTCCCTCGGCCTCCTTTCTTTGAGCTATTTTTTTTTTATCTGCTGGCCACTTCAGAATTACAGAAATACACATGAATTCTCTCACTAAGATATTCATATTCACAAACACAAAAGCATATAAATGGCATTGAATACTGTTCACATAGATACATATGTGACTTTAATAATACAACATGATTATTTTTTTTCTTAATCCAACATCATTTGAAATGAACTGAAAAACACTTACATTTCTTATTAAAATAAAAACAGTTAAGGGGAGGTTTGCCAGGTCTGTGGGTTTCTCTCGGAATTGAACTATTTTTAAACTGTTGCTGCGGGTTGATTTTTTTATGCGGGTTAAAGCATAACCTTTTCCATAAATTATATTTGACTAACATGCCTGCACTGAAGTATTTTATCAATTTTATATTCTAATCAAAACACTATATAAAATATATATAACATCATATTATTTATGGTCACTACTGTATAGTACTACTAGAGACTTGAAATAAGCAGGAGAATTGTATTCCAACTTGTTTGACACCCTGCAGTATTTCAGTGTCTTGAAATACGTTGTTAGTTATTTTTGAAATGTGATTTGTAAAGTGATTTGTAAAATGTGGCCTAACAAATGTTTTATAATTGGAGTTTAATTGATTTAAAAAAAAAAAAATGATTAGAATGCATTTCTGAAACAAGATGAATCACAATATAATTCACAATACACAAAAAAAGTAGAATACACAGTATACACATCCTCAATCTGGTTAGCAGAATATCAGGATATTTTAATATTATTATTATTTTTTTATATTTATGTTATTTTTTTTATTAGCAGTATTGGCCACTAAATGATGGTTTAAATCTTTAAAAAAAAGGTGTATTTAATACTTATATAGACTGAATATTTAAGATTAATGTCTAACTTACTTAAAGGGACATTATATATCATAGCAAAATTTAACCCTTTAAAACAACCCTCTCTTGAAGAGTGCCTTCCCTTTAAGAACACAAACATTTCCTGATAATTTACTCACCCCCATATCATCCAAGATGTTCATGTCTTTCTTTCTTCGGTCGCAAAGAAATGAAGGTTTTTAGGAAAACATTCCAGGATATAACTATTCCATATATAACATTCCATATAACGGACTTCAATGGGGACCAATGGGTTGAAGGTCCAAATTGCAGTTTCAGTGCTGCTTCAAAGGGCTCTACACGATCCCAGCCGAGGAATGAGGGTCTTATCAAATGAAACGATCGGTCATTTTCTTAAAAAAAGAAAAATGTACATACTTTTTGACCACAAATGCTCATCTTGCACAAGCTCGATTTCACGCATTACGTTACCCTAACTTTCTGAACCGGAGTACACAGACGAAGAACTAACCGCGCGTGACCTTTCCAACGTGATTACATAATGTGTGAATTTGCAGATGCGCATTGCGGACCTAGTGCAAGACGTGCATTTGTGGTTAAAAAGTATATACATTTTAATTTTTTTTAGAAAATGACCGATGGTTTCACTAGATAAGACCCTCATTCCTCGGCTGGGATCGTGTAGAGCTCTTTGAAGCTGCACTGAAACTGCATTTTGGACCTTCAGCCCGCTGGTCCTCATTGAACTCCATTATATGGAGAAAAATCCTGGAATGTTTTCCTCAAAAACCTTAATTTCTTTGCCCTTGAAGACAGACCGACATTAACATCTTGGATGACATGGGGGTGAGCAAATTATGAGGAAATTTATCAGAAAATAAAATGATCAGAAATGTTGTTGTGCACAGCAGAGCATTTCAGAGTCTGCTTTTTGCATTAAAAATAAGCTAAATGCTTCATTCTTGATCTAGGATGGCTTGAGGGTGAGTAAATAATGGGGTACTTTTCATTTTTGGGTGAACTATCCCTTTAAGGTTGTGTTATAAATGAACAGTGCACATAAACGGCTGTTGAGATCTTGGAGTAAAGGTTTGGACCTGTTAACGTTACGTCACAACTTAACAAGCAGATAAAAGGTTAAAGCCTAGTTTACTGAACAATTATGGATGAAATTGCTTCATAAGGGGTTGTGGTGATTGGAATGAGTCACTGAGAAGTCAGATCAATAAACTCTTCCCTACGGACTTGATTCTATTCATGCTAGAAATGCTCTTTTTATCTTTACAGGTCGTGACTTGGCCAGTACCACGCTCCCTGGTTACCCTCCTCATGTTCCTCCAACTGGGCAGGGTAGCTACTCCACACCCTCCCTCACAGGAATGGTACCTGGTGAGTCTCACTTGCATACATGCCTGTCATTCAATTTTCAACTCCATCTACACAAACTTCACATACACAGAGACAGCTGTTTTAAGTTCCTATCACGGTTGAGTTCTTTAGATTTTTTTGGCATATTTCTGAAGAAAGGAGTGATGATGAAAATAATAGGCTAATTTTCATACATGTGGCACACTCATTCTTCCTCTCTCACCCTCTCACTCGTCCTGTGGTAGTCACTCTTCCAATACCCCCGTTTCACCTCTGCTTTATTTCAGTTGAGGTCCCAGTGGGAGGGGGTCTTGTCTTTGCCACTTCCTGTCTCCCCCAAACATTTCCTGATAATTTACTCACCCCCATATCATCCAAGATGTTCATGTCTTTCTTTCTTCGGTCGCAAAGAAATGAAGGTTTTTAGGAAAACATTCCAGGATATAACTATTCCATATATAACATTCCATATAACGGACTTCAATGGGGACCAATGGGTTGAAGGTCCAAATTGCAGTTTCAGTGCTGCTTCAAAGGGCTCTACACGATCCCAGCCGAGGAATGAGGGTCTTATCAAATGAAACGATCGGTCATTTTCTTAAAAAAAGAAAAATGTACATACTTTTTGACCACAAATGCTCATCTTGCACAAGCTCGATTTCACGCATTACGTTACCCTAACTTTCTGAACCGGAGTACACAGACGAAGAACTAACCGCGCGTGACCTTTCCAACGTGATTACATAATGTGTGAATTTGCAGATGCGCATTGCGGACCTAGTGCAAGACGTGCATTTGTGGTTAAAAAGTATATACATTTTAATTTTTTTTAGAAAATGACCGATGGTTTCACTAGATAAGACCCTCATTCCTCGGCTGGGATCGTGTAGAGCTCTTTGAAGCTGCACTGAAACTGCATTTTGGACCTTCAGCCCGCTGGTCCTCATTGAACTCCATTATATGGAGAAAAATCCTGGAATGTTTTCCTCAAAAACCTTAATTTCTTTGCCCTTGAAGACAGACCGACATTAACATCTTGGATGACATGGGGGTGAGCAAATTATGAGGAAATTTATCAGAAAATAAAATGATCAGAAATGTTGTTGTGCACAGCAGAGCATTTCAGAGTCTGCTTTTTGCATTAAAAATAAGCTAAATGCTTCATTCTTGATAAACGTTCTGCAACCTGTATTACTGTTACTGTATTAATTATAATGGTACTAAATGAACTTTATTATGTTTTAGTGTGTTCTCTTTTTTTAAAACAAAGTAGTGTAAATTATATTGCCGCATCATATCAGCTAGAATTTTAATATTGTTGCATCCCTGATTATAAAATAAGTATAAAAACACTACTGTACGCTGTAAGAAAGAAAAAAAAAAACAGAAAAAAGGAAAATGTACTGGTCATTTTCTGCCAGGATATTATCTGTTAAGTTTATAGACATTTCATTTAACCATAAAACACAAAACAATGCAATGTGTAATTCAAAAATGGGGAAAATGCATTATTCAAATCACTATGAAAAAATTCTTCATATTAATATTACATTGCATCCTGTTTTTATATACTTTTCTTAGGAGTTTAAAATGTGAAAGAATGAACGCAGTCTAATCAACTAATATTCTCTTGTTAAATGTGGCTTAACCAACTAGCTAAATAACTATAAAGAAAAAAAAAGCTACTTGGTAATTTCTCAATGTCTCATTAAAGTGTAGGGAACAAATGTGTGCTTGCTTAGCTTCAATATCAAGTGCAAGGTAACAAGTGGAAACTCTAGTGTAACAAGACAAATAGAGAGGTATAAAAAAAGCAAGAACTCTGGGATGAAGGACTGTTCACCAACCCTTGTATCGACTCCCTGAACACAGCAAAACAAACCCGAGCCAAAACAACAACAACAACAACAACATGTCTTTTGTCGTGTCTTCAGTCTGTCACGCTGGTGTCTCTCCCCGGTTGCCACAGTGACTCGTAGGGTCTTGTCGGGTCCCCTCTCTTCAGAGCAAGATCCGTAACCTTGTCTCGTATTTCCCTCCGACTGAATCCCCCATGTTTCCCCCACTTCTGACAAGCATTTATGACCTTGTAACCCATCTCTCTTGCTGGGGAGACCCCATCCCTCTTCTCTTCTCCATCCATAAGTCATTCCCCTCGCTTTCGCCAGCATCTTCCCTAAACAACCTGACACGCGGTAGTCGCTGTGGCGTAGAGGAGAGGTAACCATGCCGACGATCCCATCTAAGAGCATGCTGAAGGTTAAGGGTAGGAACAAATCTTCAGACGTGCACTTCAGATTATCCCACTTTATTTACTCAGTGCCAATTCTACACTTCTGGGGGCCCTACGCAAAACTGGGGGGAGTTATGAATGAATGAAACGCATTTGTCCGGGTTCATTCAGTCTCGAATCGCGCTCACGGAAAGCGCTTGAGAAACAGTGTCTCTTCCACGGCTCGTACGCTTTCAACTCATTTATTTTATTTTTTTGTCTCGAGCAAGAGACTCTATGACATTCACGTTACATGATTTGACAGATTTTTACATAGAAAGGGTGACAGCGCACCACATTAAAAGAAATGAACATTCATGTTTTCATAACCGCTGGCCAAATTCAAAAACGAAACTAAAATTAAATAATCTTTGAGAGCAAGGGGGCCCCCCTGGTGTTTCGAGGACCCTACGCAGCTTGCATACTTTGCGTATAGGGAGGATTGGCTCTGCATTTACCTTCTACTATTTATTTATTTATTTATTTAAATTTTCTGTGTTCATGAAGATACATTGGAATTTATTAAATTCAGAACAAAATTTTAAAATGAAAAACACTTTACTTCAACAGCAACAATCTTATGAATCATTTTGCATTCATCACTATTCTTTCAAATAATATACAGTATGTGTGAACCTTTTTATATCCATGTACACAAATCTCATTTTCTGTAAAATTATATATTGTATATGAAATATATAAAAGTACATATAAAGTCCTAACACAAAGCTAAAAGTAAAGCTAAAGCTAAAAGTAAGAACTACTGATCAAAAGGTTTGAGTTAGTAAGTTTTTTGTTTTTTTTAAGTTTTGGAAGACACTTATGCACAATTATTTGATCAAACGTAAACAGTAAAATTGTAATATTGTGGAATATAATTACAACTTAAAATAACCATTTTCTATTTGAATGTGTTAAAATGTTATTTATTCCTGTTATCAAAGTGGAATTTTTTTTAGCATCACTACTCCAGTCTTCAGTGCCACATGATCTTTCAGAAATTAGTGCTGATTCGGTGCTCAAGAAACATTTCTTATCATCATCAATGCTGAAAACAGTTGTGATGTTTTGTATTTTTGTGGAGACTGTTATGCATTTTTCACATATTTTTGTACTTTTGTCATTTATTCAGCATGAAATTGCACTAAATTGACAAAGTATTCATTATTTAAAAAATTAAACATACTGATTGTGTAGCCTCACACACATGATGATTGGTCCCTAAAATTGGTCCCATTCTGCAGTTTATATATCACATACTGTATGCTCTGAATTGCTGTAATTTTTCCATATTGTGCTTACAGTGTGAACAGTCCAATTAGAAACTTGGAAACCATGTTTCATGTAACTGTCATTTTGTGCAGTTTTGTGATTACATTTGTTGCTTGCTGAGAAATCTGCACTTTTTTCATTTCTTTTTCTATTTTTCCTTTCCCTTCATTCTCTGTACAAACAATCAGTACAAACAAAGTCTAAATGAGATAAGATTAACTTCTGCTATATAACTAGCTAGCTATTTTAACCTATATATAAGAATAATACATATGATGTTGTTGCTTTAAAAGAAACTGTTGATTTTCTTGTAATTGAAAATCCCTCACAGTGTGACATTTCTGTACTCCTGATATGCTCGTTAGCTTGCTTACAATCAAGCTAGTATTTTGAACAGCTTGTATTTAAACAGTTTCTTTGAGTACATTCAGATTATTTTCTTTTAATGATAATCAAAGTACAAAGAAAGACGATAAAGTTATAGGTTGACCTGCCAAGCTAAAAAAAAAGCCTCAACTGCTTGTTTACAGCTCTCAGATATGATGGATTTATATATTTCACTGCCACTTTTATGAAAAATTGATTAGTAGTGCTTTTTCGTTTTTCCCTATATCTCCTGGATCCTCTTCCTTCACTTTATCCCGGAGTGTATTGCTTATTTCTCCTCTCCTTTTCTGTGGTTCTGTTGCTTTCTCTCTTTCAGCAGGGGGCTGACGCACAGGGGAGGGGGCACAAAACCAGCCAGGCAGAACCGACAGAGCGAGAGATGGGAGGAAAGAGAGAGAGAGAGAGAGAGCTGGGGCCTCTGATTTTGTGACAGCCAGCAAAGGGAAAGTGTTCCCCAGGGAAAGGGAGAACGAGGGAAAAGAGGGCGAGAAAGAGAAAGAGAGAGGGAGATAAGGGGAAAACTACACTGAAGCAATGGAGGAGAAAAACTGTCACAAATCGACACTTCCACCCAGCCAATTGGACATTTTAGGCTCCTACACAGTATAGGATGTACAATCCACTTGCAATTGGAAGAGTTTGTGCAATTCTACATGCATATCTAACACTTCTATTGTCTTTTCTTGAATTTCAGGAGGAGATTTCTCTGGCAGTCCTTATTCCCATCCGCAGTATTCAACATACAACGAGCCTTGGAGATTTGCAAACCCCAGTCTACTAGGTAAAAGCTTAAGAACAAACATATGGACAGTGATGCAGAAAATTTGCTCTCTTAATGCTTTTAAAGGGGTCATATGATGTTGCTAAAAAGAACATTATTTTGTGTATTTGGTGTAATGAAATGTGTTTATGCGGTTTAAGGTTCAAAAACACATTATTTTCCACATACTGTACATTATTTGTTATTATTATTTCACATACGGTACATTATTTAGTTTCTCCTCTATGCCCCGCCTTTCTGAAACGTGTCAATTTTTACAAAGCTCATCGGTCTGAAAAGCGAGGTGTGCTGTGATTGGCCAGCTATCCAGTGCGTTGTGATTGGCCGAATACCTCAAGCGTGTGACGGAAATGTTACACCCCTTACCATACTGTGATGCCATGTCCCGGCCGGAGCGACGAGACAAAAACATGAAAACCCATTATAAACGAGGCATTTGTTGCATCCAGTGGGGACATAATTACGGATTATAATGACTTATACTGTCTTTTTACGCGTTGCTTTGCATCGCGCCGCGTAAACATAAAACCATGTCTGCATTTGTGATCGGAGAAATGACAAACTACAAGTGCTACTCTACACTGCTCAAAACTCGCATTTGAATCATCAGTGGCAAATCCTTTAAATATGAAAAGTACTTACAGGCTGTGAGTCAGAAGCGCCAGACTGCCCTTGCACTGTTTCTATAAAGTGGGGCAGTTGTCCTTGCAACTGCCCCACTTTATAGAAACAGACACTGGCATTGTAGGCTACTCTCCCAGGAAACAGTCCTCATCCTCCATAAAATGCGCTGCACACATCTGAATATTTGAGTTGAACTGTTCTGGAACAGTGTTGTAAATACAACTTAACCACTTATTTCTAGTCGTGTCCTCTTTTGGAAGACCAAACAAAGTAGTTTCGCTTTCACAACGAAACACACAGCGTCTTCACGACATGGCGGCGGCGGCAACAACAATACTACAGCGAGAATAAAAGTTACGCCTTCTTTCTTTGCGTGAACATTTGGGCGGCGTTATGCAAATCTTCCCACATCGTGATGTAGACATGTGGGGGCGTGTTAGAACGAGCCATTTTAGGTAGGCGTGGTTGACTCTTAACTTTCATAAAGAATATCTCTTTGGATTTGAGACTTTAGTCTTTGCAACTTTAGAGATCTTCTTTATGTACCAAAAGCTTGTAACACTTCAAAGAGAAAGGAAAAATTTAAATAGCATCATATGACCCCTTTAAATTTACAATAATGTATTTATAATAATGTCCTTTAAAAATAATAATTCAACCAAAATGAAAATTGTCATTATTTAAAATTTCGGCATCAGAATAAAAAACAAAACGCTAATTGTGACTTTATCTCCCAATTACAACTTTACATGTCTTCATATGTTAGATATGTTTGTGGTCAGTAATTTTTTACAGTAATTGTTTAACATTTTTTAAACAGTAGTTTTTTTTTGTTTTTTTTTTAAAGAAATTAATTATTCAGCAAGTATGCATTATATTGATCAAAAGTGACACTAAAAACATTTATAATGTTACATGAGATTTCTTTTTTAAATAAATGCTGTTCCTTTGAACTTTTTATTTAACAAAGAATCCTGAAAAACTGTATCCAGATTTCCAAAAAATATTAAAGCAGCACAACTGTTTTCAACATTGGTAATAATAAGAAATATCTTCTTATTGAGCATCAGCATATTAGAATGATTTCTGAAGGATCATGTGACACTGAAGACTGGAGTAATGATGCTGAAAATTTAGATTTGCATCACAGAAATAAATGACATTTTAAATAAATATTCTAATAAAATACAATAGTTCACAATATTAATGTTTTTATTGTTTTTAATGAAATAAAAGCACTTTTCACTCATACATCTTCCAAATGTGGAAATTTTTTTCTGAGTGATGCCACAGAATAACCATTTTGGGTTCCCCAAAGAACCTTGCATGTTTTTCTTAGTGTGAAGAACATTTTAATAAATCGAAAGAACATTTTATGTAATGGAAAGTTTCCATGGATGTTAAAATTTCTTCATGGAACCATCAATGCCAATAAAGAACCTTTATTTTTAAGAGTGTTAGGCTTCTTTCAAAAACATGGAAAAGGTGGATTGGATGTACATGTTGGGAACATAATAGAATTTTCAATTTCTGTGTTAACTACTCCTATAAGTGTAAAATAAAATGCATTGGTTTAGAGTGCTAGGTTTAATTTATGGTCTCATTTCTAAAAGACCATCATTTGCTGTGAACTATAAACTTACTGATGTTAAGTTGTTGTATGCGTGTGCACTTTGCTCTTGTCAGTGTTCCAGCAGGAGTACGGTTCTTTACTGGGCTCAGAGAGAGCAGCTTCATCGGGTCTATTCCCTGGCCAAACCCCACAACCTACAGGTACAGAACACCCATGCCATTAGAGAAACTTTGACATTTGAAACATTGTCGGGTTAGCTTGCCATATGTGTATGTATGTATGGTGCACAGAATGAGCGGTTCAGAAGAACCTGCCCCGTTCCGCAAACCTCAGACTGACACATCAGTCCAGAGCAAGGTGAAGGGGCATTGGCTTAAAAACAGTTATGTGTGTGTAAGAGAGCCACAGAGCTGACCTTAACGTTCCCAATGGAGAAGGGACTCCTTGGAGATTTCATGAGCTTTTTGCTTTGTGTGTCAAGAAAGAGACCCTGATTTGACAGAAGTTTGACAGTGTTTGTGTGAAGCGCTCGAAGACAAAATGTCTATTAGGGCTACATAGCCCAGTATATGCTTTGAAATGGATTAAAACATTCTCAAATGCAATTTTCACTATAGTCAAATATAAGTCATAGTAGTAATTCATTTTTACCTACATACAATTAATTGCTGATTCAGAGTGTTTACCTGATTTAAACAGTCTTTAATCAGCTGAACAAATACTTAAACTCCAATGGATACCTGGACAATTTTCAATCTGGTTTCCGACCGCATCACAGCACAGAGACGATAATAATAATAAATGTTTTTTGAGCATCAAATAATTTGAATGATTTCTGAAGGATCATGTGACTCTGAATATACTTGCTGCTGCCATCACAAGAATAAAATACATTTTAAAATATATTAAAATATAAAACAGTTATTTTAAATAATAATAATAATAATAATAATAATTCACAATATTACAGGTTTTATTGTATTTATCAAATAAATGCAGCCTTGGTGAGCAGAAGAGACTTCTTTTATTTTAAATCATTTTCAAAGTTTTTAAATTCCTTGTTTTAGTGTTGTGATTATTTTTTTTTCTTTTCTTTTATGTAAAGCACTTTGAATTACCATTGTGTATGAAATGTGCTATATAAATAAACTTGCCTTGCCTTGCCATAAATGCAGCCTTGGTGAGCAGAAGAGACTTCTTTTAAAAACATTTTTCTTCTATTTTAAAATGAATCGGTGGTCAGTGTTGCCAAGTCCGCGGTTTTCCCGCACAATTGGGCTACTTTAACACTGTTGCCGCGGGTTGTTTTTCATGTCCACGAGTTGAAACGACCCCAATAACGTGATATTTAGCGCCTGGAATGCAAATTTTACCAGGGGAACCCCACCAAAACGTGTATTTTATCCTCGGAACGCGATTTTTAACGTGGACCCCTCGAAACGCGATTGGTCGGGTTTTGTTGTGAAAACCTGGCAACCTCTTCATAAAAGCAGTGGTGACCTCAAGAGGAGGAAACGCATCAAACTAACAAAACACCCCGATCAAGTTCAAGCAGGT